ATCTTTGGGGATTTTAGATTCATTACCTTGATATGGCTACCAGGTATAGCCCTTCTGAAAAGCAGCTATTAGCTTATAACTGAGTTCTTGTCAAAACTGAAAGCCATTCCTGTGCACACCTTGTGAGTCTACAGCCCGATGGTCACACTGATGGTGGGTCAGCAAGGTGGCAAAGACCTAATAAGTCTCACTTATCAAATATAAGTGGTATATTCAAGAATATAGCTGGTCCTGCCCAGCAGCATCTCAATCTCACATGAAAAAATGGCAGCATACCCCTTTGGGGCAACTTTGTCTCTTACTCTACCTCCAAAAATGAACCCACTGGCTCTAGTCCTTGGTTTATCTAAGTTCTACCTTATGTCTGGGCCTGATTCACTGATGGTTTGCAAAAGTGGAAACCCAGTGGGTGTCCACCAGCAGCTGTAGCTGTCCTAACTCAGCACCAAGTATACATAACTGAAAACCTACAAAATTGTTTGGTCTAGTGGGCTGAACCCACAGCCATTCTCATAGCTGTGGCCAGTACTTATCTTGATAAATCTTATTAGATCACCACTAACTCTTGAGCTATCACCAAGCGTCAATACACTATTTGGTCTGCCACTTGGAAAACTATAGACTTAACACATCAAATTTACTCCTCTCTGTGCAAACAAATTCCAGAAACAAATCTCAGCTGATCAAATCATCTGGGTCACTCATGTAGATACTTGCATTAAGGACTCGTGATCTGAAAAGATCAAAGAGAATTAAGCACACAATAGAGATTGCATAGGACAGACTGCCACAATGCTGCATGGACCCATCATTTTGCCCGCCATAGCAATGAATCTGCTATCCCACACTGGGCATAAAGCAAAGGACTCTTTTGCAGATGCAGAGTTTACCAAGCATGCAAGACTCGGGATTCAGGCCCAGAACTGACAAGTTTTTCCATAGCAAAGTGATGGTCACACCTCTGATCACTTCTTTGGGGTATCAGTAGCACCTTACCTCTTCTGACACCTGTTCACGGTATGGAGTTGCTGTTCCAGTCAGATCTGCTAACTCGAGCCACACTAATGGCCCTTGAAAAAAACCTTTTTCGTGTTGTGACTTTAAGGATTGTTTTCAGTCTAACAATGGCGCCCTTCATACCACAAAAGCTACCTGAAAATGGGCTGACCATAGAGGTGTTCAATGGATCTTCAATACCTCATACTGTTGAAAGGTATCATTGAGCACAACCAGGGCCTTTTCAAAATTGAATCAAAAACATTTCTGACTCTATCTCCCCACTACCTCATCTTGGTCCACATAGTTAATAAGGTTGTTCAGTTACTAAACATGCTTGTCCCCAGAAAGGGATCATCTCCTCTTGGCTGTGTCATGTATAATTATCGGTAAAAAGGTTATATGCACTTATATAAGGTTATATATACTTACATTAAAACCCAGGATTCTATCCTGTCCACTCACGGACATGAGGTGTCCTTTTTACTTAAGCAACCCCTAGAATGTCAGGTGGTAGCTCTGCCAGAAGGTAGTCTAGGAGATTCAAATACAATCCTAATGTAGCCACCTATATTGTTTTATTGAAATGTCATGATTCTAGATCAAAAGGATAACAACCACTTGGTTGACTACACAGCTCATCAAGACCTCCTACCATAGCCCACACAAAGGTAGAAGACCTATTTTGTCTCCATCATAAGTTTTTTTAAATGCCTTTGTCCCTCTTGCACTTGAATGTTCTGGAGCAGAGGTCTAGGTTCCAATAAGGGATAAGCAGAAATAAGATGAAGTTTTAGCTAAAATGGGGGAAACTTATTTCTGGCAGTGGAAGAAGATCAACAATGCAGTCTGATAATGAGGTGCCTAGAGGGCAGATACCTTAGACCCTGAGAGGTATGAAGGATGGGGGATATTAATGATAATTTGTTTTTCAGAGTCTCCCTGTCACCTTCTGTGAAGGATAGTGCATTAGTGTTCCTCTCTCAAACTGTTGCAAGTACTTTAAACTTAATCAAAGACTAGGTCCACCATACCCATCAGATAGAAGTCCCTTTAAACTTACTGAGAAATCTATAAGAAACAGCAGGAAATGACCCCACCTTCTGCCCCAAGTAACAACATCGACACCAACATTCCCATTGCCATTGCTCAGTCCTTCCTTGGAGTGAACAAGCACCGCCCAGTTTCCAGCGTAGACCAACAGGAGAAGTTGGACTGACAGTCCTTAAGCAGCCTCTCAAAAACAAAGAAGAGACACAAGTATGTGAAGTGAATTGGGAACCCTAAGGTTTATGGGTCACCAAGGGGGCTGCAGGCACCATCAGACAGTATTGCCTAACTAATGCAGGTCCCACTTAGTGTCTCCAACAACCGTCTGTAAGACTTTCTTTCCAAAGGCACCCTGTGCACCTTCAGGACTGTACTTCTTGTGTAGAAGCCAGTCATTAACTTGTACCCTACGAGGGGTCATAAGTGGTCATAATTCAACTATTCATGAAAATAGCCCCAACATATCATCAAGCTTTAGACAACTGCAAGGATTTTCAAAATGAGACTACTGTTGGTTATTCAGAGATCTCTGAAGGGGTAACTGGTGTTATTCCTATTCATCCTATAGGCAGTTATCCAATCAGAAAAGATGGTAAAAAAATTGTCTCTGAGTTAGCTAGAATATGACATGCCACCACCTCAGCCTCTGATGACATTTAGGTCAACATCAACTCATGGTTCAAACATTATTATGGACAATGTAATTGCCCTCAACTTTACCCTTAAGGGTCAAGAGGAAGTCTGTGCAGTCACTCATCTCTTTTGGGTATCTGGAATGCCATCATCCTGTTCACTAAGTTCCCCTACCATGGCCATGTACACAAAAGTGGGAGATATGTTGGGTTCTGCAAATTTTTGAAAATACCTTTGACCCTCTTCCACATGAATCTTACACAGGAAAGATCTCAGTGCCAATGCAAAGGTCTCAGGCTGAGTAGAAAGGTCAATACTGGGACTTAAAGCTGCCTAGCTTTCTAAGGTGGACCCTCATGGTTTATGGGATTTATTCAGCTAGTTGGATCTGGGAGCCTGGGGCTATGTTTGAAGTCAATAATTCAGGTTCATCTCATCTTGCTGTTTGGTGTCCTAATGGTAGTAGCTTTATTTAAATGATGTATGCAGTAAATTGGCCAGATTTGAGCCCAGCCTCAGTCAAACAGATTAAACAGAATGGTGGATAGCATGCTGTACTAACGGGAAAATTTACCAGGAGCCAAGATGGTATAGAAATAAGGTTTGGATATCTTGGGGAGATAATTCTCCATGGTTCCTTTGCATTTCTGTAGATCTTATGAGCAGGACAGTGATTTACCATTGTTTAAGACCATCTTTTTAAGGATCTTTGTATAAAAAGCAGCCTTAGAAGCTCAAGGAATTGTATTTTTCCAGAGCATATGGCAGGAAATGGAGTCTCCTTCTGAAGCAATGAACACACACACTGTCTAGTATAGTAACAGTAATATCTCTCTTTGCAGAAAAGGACTGGCATGATTACTGCCCATTCAAAAAAAGTCAGGTTCCCAAAGCCTAGAGTTCCTTTCCTGTAATGCAAGCCACTGTGTATGTGTGTCATCTGTTCCTGTTCACAGAGCCCCGAGCAAAGTGGGGTTTGGGGAACTGGTACAAATGCTAATACCCTGGCTAGTGTGTCCACTGGGAGCATTGAGTGCTTTTTCTCTGACCAGGAGTCTTGTGCCTCCTAAATTGTCCATGAAAGAGTGGCAGGCTCATTTGTTACCTTGCAAGTAGGGTGAAATCTCAGTTCTTGACACTAGCTATACATTTGTTATTCCGTAGCAAAAACCTCCTTCCTAAAGTACGACAGTGAAAACTAACAAAGTTAAATCACCATTAGAAGGGGAATATGGCTTATTCATTTTGTTTTAAATCATCCTTTATACTATATTTATGTGCTTAAATTAGGAGAGTAAAAGGAAATAGTTACTGAAACATTCTCAATAAATGTAATCTTTTGTTACCTGTCCTTCCTGCTGAAAATCATTTGAAACACATCTTTTCTTCTGTTTCATTCTATTTTTAAAGCTGCGTGTAGGTACACTGGTAATTTCTCATCTTTTAAGTCAATGGTGAAGAATGTCAACAAAATGTGTTTACAAATAATATTTAAGGCTTAGTGTTAATCTGTTTGGATACTGTAATCATTTCAAAGCTGACAAATGTGATGGCATCTGATAAGGTACCTTTAATACCTCAACAGTTTACATAATTTTACTTTTTCTATGTGAAAAAAACATGTTACAAAATAAAATACAAAACAAAACAAACAAAAAGAATGAGTGGATAAGATCTTTTTTAACCTAAAATTTTTAATATTAGAAAACAACACATTATCTTTGTGAAAATTCAAATATTATAAAAATGTCCCACTTCAAAAACTAAAGACTCCCATTGGTTCAAGCCTCCCCCAAAGCAGCCATTGTTTATAGTCTGCTTTGCAAAGACTAACATAAATTGATCTTTAATAGATATTAATAGTCTTTGTGTTGTTTTTATTTCTTTTGGACCTATGGACATACATATGTCCATTTCTACTAGTCGCCTAGTCACACAGGACTCCATTATTTTGCTACGTGGAAATTTCTTATCAACTCCTTCTTCATGGTGTATAAGGTTGTTTCGACTCTGTTAACAGGGAGGGGGGAACAATGCTGCAGTGAATAATCTTATATGTATATCCTTGTGTACTTCCTTTTTTTATTATTAACATATAATGTATTATTTGTTTCAGGGGTACAGGTCTGTGATTCATCAGTCTTACACAATACACAGTGCTCACTCCCCAATATCCTTGTGTACTTCTAAGAGTATTTCTGTTGGATACGTATCCATGGAGAGAAAGACTTAATGACAGGGTTGTATGAAAGTTACTCTTAGGTTACGATGGCCCTTTGTTAGTAAATGCACAGTAATACAGGTTAAAATTTTGCTCTCACCTTTGTTGCCAAGGATTTAAGTTTTCCCAGTAGTGACTGTTTATTGGAATAGACAACTTCTTCCTCATTGTCTTCTCCTTCCATAATAGCACAACTGTCTGCCGCTGGGAGTTCACATTCTTTTGAGTTAGTTGTCATCACCAATTTGGAATATTTGTACTCCAGTCTAAGTGATGGTAAACAAATAAAGTGGCTGTTTAATACAAATTAATACCAATTTAGGTGGTCATACACCACCTTGTTAAATGCTCTTGTGGTAAAGTTGCTCTACTAAGCAATGTCCCTCCTTACAGCCAAAGCACTATGAGCTCCCATTTACCTACCATTGACACACAAATCTCTTCCAGGATTTCAGAGAATCATGGCAGTATAGTTAGCTCTATCAATTATTGTACATTGATTAAATTCTTCAATTATGAAGAACTTTTTAAAAATGAAGAGAAACTGTGAAGTCTGAATGCGTTTTCTTAATATATCAATATTTGGAAGCTTGGGCACTATATGATTTTTCAAAGTTTAGTTCATAAGAATAAGAATACCACTGAGGTCAGTGATCTGGTCTTTCTTGTTTCTGTACATACCTCGTTCCTTTCAATTCACCACCTTGGATATTATAATGGCCTTGTGATACGACAATACAGAACTTTCAGAGCCCCGCTGATATATAATCATTTTAGAAGAGTCAAATCTCATAACAGATCAATATATATTCAGGAAACAGACTCAATATTCAACCCTAGATTCCTGAAGTCCTGGAGTAAATACAGATTGCATTTGCCTACATACTTAGTTGTCTCACAAGAAACTGAAAAAGAAACATCAGGGCAAGAAGACACAACATTGTCATGAAAAGAAAAATACAGGCAGAGAGAAAACCTGACCTCTCATCTCAGCTCTGCTCCCATTTACTTGAATAACCCAGAGCCTCCATTTTTCTCTATTTTGTAACAAATAGGTCTAATCCAATCACCTCTAATGTTCTATCATCTATTAGCAGAATAATTATCATTCCCGTTCCCTTTCTTAAAGGTCTTTCCTATAACTCCTTCATAGGAGCAGTTTCTTATCTTTCTGAGAAAAACTATTGGATGTAACAACAATTAGGTCTAACATTTTCACAACAGAAGAGATCCTTCAGGTCTTACATGGTCACTCCAATGAAGTTACTTACTTCTGATTCTTTTTCCAGAAGTAGCAAGTTAGAGCCACCAGCAAAACCGCGGTGAATGCTCCCACACCTGCTCCCACTTTCAGCCAGAAGTCAACTGTTTCGCAGGTTGACAACTTTTTCTCAGGCAAAGAAACTCCTTTAATGCACCATTTAGGTTCATTCCATACATACAAGGTTTCCTTTAAAAACACACACACACATAGATGACATGTGAAATGAGATTCAGAAGGAGAAGGGTTCTGCCCCTTATTCATAGTACACATAGAGGATTTCTCGGCATGCATCTAATAGAAGAAGCTCCAGAAAGAGAAGAAAGAGATAGAGAAGAGAATGAAAAAGGGAATAACGAACAAAAACACAACAAAACCAAATAAAAACATGAATTGCTAGATCACGAGGCTTGGTCCATCTGAGGAGGTTGAATAAAAAGGTATGTCTGGACGTACCATTTGAGCTTGTTTGCTCAAATTTCTTATGATCCCTGACTTTTTTTTTTTTTTTTTAAGATTTTATTTATTTATTTGACAGAGTGAGAGAGCACAAGCAGGGGGAGCAGTGGGGAGAAAAAGAGGTAGAAGAAGACTCTTTGCCAAGCAGGGAGCCTGATGTGGGGCTCAATCCCAGGACCTTTAGGATCATGACCAAAGCCAAAGGCAGACACCCAACCATCTGAGCCATTCAGGTGCCCGATTCCTGACTTCTTAGTCATGATTTTAATTGAAAGCTTAGGTTGTTTAATATAGTTAAGGGGAATAGGTATCACCCACCCATGCTGTAGGTCCATTTCCCCCACCAAGTATCTCCCCTGAGAAGAAGAGCAAACTCTGGACCCAGGACAGGCAGGCATACCATGATGAGCAGGCTTGGGTCAGAGGTAGGGGGGCAGGCACACAGACCGCACCCTTATTTTCCCCACATTATTCTGGGTCATTACTGCCCACAGTAGGTCCTTATTTTTATCCTCCCAAACCAGATGATTCAGTGTTGTTAGAACAATGTTTTTCCGAACTGCAAGTTGCAACTAACTAGGGAATAATAAAATCAATATACTGAATATTAATGATTTTTTTTAAAGAATTTATTTATTTATTCAACGGAGAGAGAGAGCTCACAAGTAGGCAGAAAGGCAGGCAGAGAGAGGGGGGAAGGGAAGCCAGCTCCCCGCTGAGCAGAGAGCCCAGGACCCTGAGATCATGACCTGAGCTGAAGGCAGAGGCTTAACCCACTGAGCCACCCAGGTGCCCCAATTTTAATGATTTTTTTTCAGATAAATAGATCAAATAACACTAACCAGAAACAAAAATTAAAGGACCGGTGGTGCCTGGGTGGCTCAGTGGGTTGGGGCCTCTGCCTTTGGCACGGGTCGTGGTCCCGGAGTCCTGGGATCGAGCCCCGTGTCGGTCTCTCTGCTCGACAGGGAGCCTGCTTTCCCCCCTCTCTCTCTGCCTGCCTCTCTGACTACTTGTGATCTCTGTCTGTCAAATAAATAAATAAAATCTTTAAAAATTAAAAAATTAAAGGACGGTACATGCTTTTATAGTTCAACAAATATAATGACCAGTAGTAATTTTTGTGATGATTATATCCAGGGACATTAAAGGACATGGAAGACTCAATTTTTTGATCATTGTATCTAATTAAATTTTCTGGTGTCTGATGGTCACTTTAATAATATCCTAACAGGGGTTGCCTGTGTGGCTCAAGTCAGTTAAGCGTCTGCTTTGGCTCCGTTATGATCCTGGGGTCCTGGGATTAAGTCCTGGATTGGGCTACTTGATCAGCGGGGAGACTGCTTCTCCCTCTCCCCCTGCCTGCCTCTCCCCCTGCTTCTGCTTGCTCTCTTTCTGTCAAATAAATAAATAAAATGTTTAAAATAATAATAATAATAATATCCTAACAAAAGGATAACACCCTAATGTGTAATTTTACTGTACAAGCACACATATTTCTGCAATTAAACATGAAGTACAGGAGAATAGTATTTACTTTAAGGAAAAGTTTCAACCAAGTTTTGGATAACAATTCTCAGGTTTTTTAGAAAAGTCATTAGTAATTGAAATTTTTTTACTGCATGACAACTCTAACATTTTCATTAAATTTAATGTAAAAAACACTTTTAAAATGGGTCACATTATTTTTATAAGAATGAGACGAGAAATGAGGGGCATGTTCAAAATACAAATGCTACATCTCTAAGTGTAAACAAGGACAACAGAGAGAAAAACGTTAACTCTAGTCAGCACATGTTGGCTTCATGTGAAGCGCATTCTAACAAAAAAAGACCCTGCAGAGGTGCCTGGGTGGCTCAGTCTGTTAAGCGTCTGTCTGTCTTCGGCTAAAGTCCTGATCCCAGATTCCTGGGATGGAGCCCAGCACCCTGCTCAGCAGGAAGCCTGCTTCTCCCTCTCCCAGTTCCCCTGCTTGTATTCCCTCTCTCGCTGTTTCTCCCTCTGTCAAGTAAATAAATAAAATCTTAAAAAAAAAAAAAAGACTGTGCAATACATTATATAGTTTTATCAAATGTGCAATAGCGGTGAAATTGGCAAAGCTCTAATGTCTAATGACAGTCATAAACAAAATGTTAAAACTTTGGATTAAAAAGATACTTGTAAACCCAGAGTACTTAACTTTTCCATAAGCTCCCAAATTGTTCAGGGAAAAAAAAAAAAAAGAGCAAGCTATTGGCCAAATTTCTGAGTCATTCCCTAATTATTAATTAGAATGCCTTATGGCTTCATCCAGTCACATGTCATTGGCAAAGGAGAAAATGGCTGACTCCGCAGCTGAAAATTGTCTTCTTCCAGCATGCTGGGATATTTTGCAAACAGGGTGAGATAAACTTGATGATAAACTTAAAAATATCCCTCTCAGTGATAACACAGTATCTCTTCAAATCTGCATGACTGGGTGACATTTAGAAGTAATGCTTACTACACACACTGAGAACCTGGTATAGATTTCTAAGATCCAAGTTGATAAGAACACTTTCCCCACAAGTTGTGCCACTCTCTTAGTTTACAAACCTCTCTGTGGAGGGCTTGTTGTAATGTGTAAACTTAACTTCATACACACCTGGATTAGATACATTTACAGAATTGGGAAAATATACACTTAGTCAAGACAGAGAGAAAACCTGTATAGAGCAGGAAACACAGGGAAATTGTTAAAAAATTAAATAATACACATTAGCAATATTTTACAATCACTGTATTTTTCTCTCCCATGAGGCTTCGGGCATCCAAAAAAAATCTACCCTTGCTCCTGAACGTACTGCAGTCCTCTCTTATCTGCAGTTTGACTTTCTGTGGGTTCAGGTAGGAAGCACATGTTCTTTCTGATTTATCATCAGAAAGTCCACAGCAGCCTCATGCTCTGTCACGTGCCTACGTCACTGGCCTCACTGGATCTCATCGCACAGCATTTCACCATCTCACGTCATCATGAGGGTGAGCGCAGGACAAGAAGATATTTTGAGAGAAAGAGCACATTCACATAACTTTTATTACTGTATATTGTTATAATTGTTCTCTTTTATTATCAGTTGTTTATCTCTTACTGTGCCTGATTTAGACATTAAACTTCATCCTAGGTACGTGTGTACGTACGTAAAAGGAAAAACAAAGTATACGTAGTCCTTGGGACTATCTGTGGTTTCAGGCATTCATTCACTGGGCGTCTTGGCACATATCCCCCAGGGGAAAAGGGGGGAGGGTCTACTGTAATGGAAAACAGTGAAAGCTGTCATTTGTGCAACATAAAACTCACTAAACAGCAGACTTTTGGGGGCACCTGGGTAGCTCAGTGGGTTAAAGCCTCTGCCTTCGGCTCAAGTCATGATCTCAGGGTCCTGGGATTGAGCCCCACATCGGGCTCCCTGCTGGGCAGGGAGCCTGCTTTGCCCCCACCCCCTGCCTGCCTCTCTGCCTACTTGTGATCTTTGTCTATCAAATAATTAAATAAAAAATCTTTAAAAAAATTTAAAAAAAAATTTAAAAAGAGCAGACTTTTTGAAATCTTTTATTCAGAGGCTGGACATAAACACCCACTTACCGGGTCGTACCCATTTGTTCTGCTGTTGCGACTGAGCACACTAAGCAAGGTACATGAGCTTCGGAATAACATTTCTATTTTTCTAACTGAAGCCTGATCTCATTTGGCAAATATTTTCAAAATCCATATCTAAGTATAACAGAAATGTTGACTTACCTATTTCTCAAGGTAAATTTAGAACTACAAGAGGGAAATTATGTATTTCAATATGACAAACACAGCCAAGTGTTCCTAAAGATATCTTGAAGGCAAAAGCAAATATTTAAAAAGAATCACCTTCTAACTATCTGTTCCAAACATTCTTAAAACATGCTGAACAGAATTTTGGCAATAAAGAGGGTTAGAGAGATTATTGCAACCCCTTGATCTTAATGTTCTCATCATTGCTTTCCAGAAGAGAAATGGTGAATATTAGAGAATGTTTACATAAAAGGTCACCTGACTTTTCAAAGCCCTTGAGTTAAAGTGATGGTCAAAGAAGGGAATGCATCCGTTTCTCATTTATTCCTTAAAAAATGATAAGGGTATCATCATTTTAGAGAAACGATCAAGAAGACTTTCCACTGTGAGACATAAAATGTGTATCATTAGTATTATGAGGACTAAAAAGAAACCATTTTTTGGTAAGCCAAGATTTTTCATCCTTGATCCACTAAGAATGTTAACAAGAAACTGGCTCACCTGTGCACAAGATGTACACTTCATGAATGAAATAAAACATTCCTAATTTTTCTTTACTTGTTGTAGATTGGGAACCTTTCCTGTTTTATATTCAATTATTTCATGACAACACATTTTATATGATCTTTATGCTTAGACTTTATCATCAAATACAAAAATAATTATTGTTCCAGGAAATTTCACTTCATTTTTAGGCATACTGCTATGTATCTGAGTTGGAGTCTGTGTATTAGCTTTGCTGTGCAATGTATTTCTTACTATAGATTCAATGTCATTAAAGATTGAAAAATCCCTATGTAGAGAACGGCTCTCTGTGTTTTTCCCCCAGAGGTAAAGGCTACTGCTAATACTCTGACTGCAGGAGATGAGGTAGAGCATTCTGACTTCTTCTTGTACTCCTGCCCTCTGACCTGCCAATAATATGCTCCTCCAGACTTTCCTGGAAAGAACAGCACTCCCTCTCTGATCCCTTCTTGCCACCAGCCTTCTAGCACGCTTCCCACTCCAGGAGACCTGAACATCAGGCCTACTCCAATTTTATCCCAGTTTTCCGAAATCCCATCAGAATCTGATTCTCTGATGCCAATTCCCCACTATGGTTACCACGACTAGCAATGATTTATTATCATTTGTGTTTTTTTCTTGTCGTTTCAATAGAATTCAGAGAGGTTCAAATAGGAAGACATCTTGAAGGAAGAAAAGTTTGTGTTTTTCACACAATACTCCTCAAAGCTTGTACAGTGACCTAAGCACTCTCAGACACTGCTCCCAGAAGTGCAAAAGGATACCACCAAAGCATGTTAGTAATATGTATCAAGAACCTTAAAAATGTCCATCTCCTTAGATCCAATTAATCTTTTTCTCATAATAAAATCTAAGGAAATCATCACATTCTCAACAGAGATGTTCATTACAGTTGTTTACAAAAAGACTTCTCAAATTTTCTCTCAAATGTCCAACAGGGGATTTATTAAATCCCAAAATATATATAATAGAGTATCTGTCAGTAACTAAAAATCATGTTTTTGAAAAAAATTAATGACAAGAGAAATACATGCAGTGTAACCACTGATGGTGGTAACCTTATTGGTGGTAACAAAACTTGATTTTAAATGCATACTAATGAGACATTAATTTAACTATAAGCTTTAGCCACAGTTTTGAACCTGAGTTTCTGTGACTTAAGTGACACCAGACTCATCAATTTCTCTTTAATCACACAGCTCTGCTTAGATGGATTTGTCCCTTACCTGAACTCCTCTCTTACAGGCTCCCTCAATCTCATGGAAGTCATGCTCTGTGCACAGAGGGCAAGCTTCAGCACTCTCCCACAGAAAATAGAATGAGCATCCATCACAGGTGCCTGCTGGGCACTTGCTGAAATAAAAAAATGAAGTGACAGTTCTTCTAGCACATTCAATCAAGTCCAAGCAACATTTAAGTGCTCACTGCATACTGGAAAGCAATGTGTGGGTGCTGAGAAAACCAACAAACAAGAAACTGAAAGGAAATGAAGCCACAACTTCATACCTACTAGGATGGCCAGAACAAAAAGACAGAGGATCACAAGAGTTGCAAACATGTCAAGAAATTAGAAACTTCAAACATTGCTAATGGGAATGGAAAAAGGTGCAGCTGTTTTGCAACAAGCTGGTAGTTCCTCAAATCATCAAAATGAGTTACCACGTGATCCAGTAACTCCATTTCTAGATAAAAATCCAAGAGAAATAAAAACATATGTCCACACACAAACTTGTACATGAATGTCCATACGAGCATTACTCATGAGAGCCAAAAGGTAGAGACAACTCCAAGGTCCATGAGCAGATGAACAGACAAACACTATGTGCTATAACATTCGGTGGAGTATTACTAGGTCATAAAAAGGAACGCAGAACTGATCCATGCCCCAAATTGGATGAACCTTGAAAACACACTAAGTAGAAGAAGCCAATCTTCTACTAATACATAAAATATAAATCTTCTACTAATATATAGACTCTTCTTCTAATATATAGAATATAGACTCTACATATTAAATGATGTTATTGGGCTGCCTGGTGTCTCAGTCATTCAAGTGTCTTCCTTCAGCTCAGGTCATGATCTCAGGGTCCTGGGATCGAACTCTCTACTGAGCTGGGAACCTGCGTCTCCCTCTCCCTCTGCTTGCAATTCCCCCTACTTGTGCTCTCTTTTTCTCTGTCAAATAAATAACATCTTTAAAAAAAATAAATGATGTTATTTTTATGAAAGTTCAGAATAAGATAATCTATAAAAACAGTAAGTTAGTGGTTGCTTGGGGCTTGGAAGAGAGCTAAGGTGATAGCTAAAGTGTATAAGGTTTCTTTTTAAGGTGAAGAAGAGCTCTCAAAAATGACTGTGCTGATGGTTGTACCTATCTATGAATATGCTAATAACCAGTGGCTTATCTGTTTTAAGTGAGCAAAGTGTATAGCATGAGAATCGGATCCCTATAAAGTTATTTTTTAAAGATGTAGAGGACAGATAGAGATAATGACAAAAAAATAAAAAGAGCTCTGGGAAGACCTCTTGATGGAAGGGGTGCCTAGAACAAATATCGAATATTCAGTAAGATTTAGCCAGAAGAGAAAAGAAGAAAGCAAGGGGATGCCTGCTGAGGGATGAAGTGGTAGATGAATTGTAAGGGAAGTACAAGCTGGTCATTATCATAACAGCTTCAGGAGCAGGGCAATGAGTGGGCGCTAGGCATACAGGCAGGAACCAGTTGGGAGAAGGGAGATGTCATTTCTTTTTAAGGTGACGTACTTAGGGGGTGCCTGGTGGCTCAATGGGTTAAAGCCTCCGCCTTCAGCTCAGGTCATGATCTCAGGGTCCTGGGATTGAGCCTCTCTGCTCAGCGGGGAGCCTGCTTCCCCCTCTCTCTCTGCCTGCCTGTCTGCCTACTTGTGATCTCTGTCAAATAAATAAACAAAATCTTAAAAAAAAAAAAAAAAAGGTGATGTACTTAGGCAACGGCTCCAAGAACAGAATAATGAACAGGATCATGGTCTAGAGGGTGAGGGCAGCAGGGGGGGTGGGGGGTGATTGTTGAAAACAAAATTGCCTAAAGTATAAAAGCAAACAAAACAACTATCAGGTCCACACAAATCTCAGTGGTGCAAATGACTGTGCAAACATGGGTTTCTTCAGTCTGATGAAGACATCTTTCAAGAGGTAGTGACCATCACCACTCAGTGACCACAGATGGGGCTTACACACAGGTGCAAGACGGCAGAGAACCAACCACCAGGTGGGGCCTGAATAGAGACTTTTTGAAACTGCTCTGTGGTACGTGGGTCTGTTATGTCAACTTGCTTCTTTCATTTTAGGGACAGATAAACACAGCATAGCTCAAAAATTAAACCATTACTGTGTACTGGATCCTTATTCATTGAAGCAAGAAGTTATGTGGAAAGGTTCTGGTGGGAATGGCTGTTTTGTTCATGACTTCGTTAAAGCTAGGGGAATCGTGTTCCATTCATACGTGTAGTAAACTTCCCTTAAGCTGTGTACATACACGGCACTGCTCTGGAAACCTTCACACCTGGGCTGCTGCCACATACAGGTGTCCTAACACATGTGGGGCAAAAAGACAGACACACAATAAAAGGGAGAACCCCAACATACCCCTTCTTAACTTTTAACTTCAGATGACTTTGTGATGATATGCAGTCTAAAACTGTAATTTTTGGTCTAGCAACAAAGTAAAATTTCATACTCTTAGTATATATTCTAAGGTCATCCTACAATATGAACACTGAAAGAAAAATCTGCCTGCCTAAAAATTGTCTACATTTTTATAGGATAATCCTTCTAAATGTCGAAATGCCTGTAGTATGCTATAAACTAAGTAATCATGCGTGGGATGTAAAGAAAAGCACAGCTCTGTGTAATGTACTTAGAAACAGAGGTCCAGTACTTTCGAGCTGAGAACAGCGACGAATGGGAACTCTTAGGAAAAATAGCTTAATAGCTTGATTTCTGTTTGTAAAAGCCAGTAAAATATTTTCAGACCAAGAAACAAAAAGGTATTTCTTTTTAAAGGTAAGTACAATAGATGAAAATCATGCCACTTAAAAAAATTCTCACTATTTCCCACCTTCCACATCAGGAAAACCAACTCAAAACTGCATTTTTGAAAAAAAAATCAGGCAACCAATTAGAAAAGTTCTTCAAGGGGCACCTGGGTGACTCAGTGGGTTAAAGCCTCTGCCTTTGGCTCAGGTCATGAGCCCAGGGTTCTGGGCTCTCTGCTCAGTGGGGAGCCTGCTTCCCCCTACCTGTCTCTGCCTGCCATTCTGCCTACTTGTGATCTCTGTCTGTCAAATAAATAAATAAAATCTTAAAAAAAAAAAAGAAAGAAAGAAAGAAAGAAAGAAAAGTTCTTCAAGAACACAATTATTTGTACAACAATGAATTGAAATTTTAAAGGTAATTAACTTTTGATCATTTAGCATAAATTACCCAATATACTTTCCTGCTGAAGTCTCTCCTTCCCAAATTATTTTATCTTTCCAACACAGGCACATTTTCAAGGGCAGCGAGGGCTGTTTATGTTGGGAAAATAAAAGAGGAAGTCCAGTACAGTTTGAGAAAAAAAAAAAAAAAAACCCTCAATAAATAAAGAAAAGGGGGAAAATTAATTAAAGTTGCAAAAACCTCTGGAGAGAAAACTCGGGTTACAATTCTGGCTGGACTTGCAAGTGATCTGTGTTTTCCTCCACCAGTGACTTAGTCCCTCCCCCCCACTGTTTCATATTTATAATTTAGCGGAAGCGAAATGTCTGTTTCACTGCCTTCATAGGGTGGTTATAAAGGACAAAATAAGAGAACAATTTGGGAAAGTTTCAAGTACTGCAAAATATAAAAGACTATTAACCATGCACATCACTTTCTCAAGAACTGGTAGAACTACAGAAACCAGGGGGAAAAAATCAAGACATTGATGTAACTTACAGAGCTGCCAGTACGTGTCAAAATACTACAATGATTCACTGCCTTTCCCTGGGAGAATTTACTTTTTAAAATCTGCTCTTAGGTTAAAAGTAGTTTAGTTTAGAATCAATTCTTTAATTCTTTCAACCCAACGAATCAGTTAAAATGTGGAACATCCAAATTCGATTCTTTGTTATAAACCCAAGTTTCACCGTTTGAATCAGGCCTTCCCTATGAAGTGACAAGGGTGTAGGAAGCGGTACTCATTTCAATAGTGCGTACACGGAAAATGAAAATAGAAAAAAAAATGCAAGAGAAATAAAAACACAAAAAGATTTTCTTCTACTAAGAATAAAAAAGCGTGTAGTAAGATAGACAAATGCTTTATCGCCAAATATGTGAAACTCTTTTCCCTTTGACGACCTGGGTCACCATCATCTCCATCCTCCCCACACTGGCTTTTCAAAGGTGTCACTAACTGAGCTTCTCTTTTTAAATTTTTGGTCTACAAGATCACCATAGAAACCAGCAAGTAAGTGTCTGAAGAGCAGTACGTGAATCACTGACAGTTGGAGCACAGAAGACTAGAATTCCACAGGATGACCCCTGTAGGGTCACACCCCTGTCACCATAGGCCGTGAATTCTAGGTACAGAAACCACCATCGACAAGGAAAACCAGGTGCACCATAATATGGTTTTACTCTTAAATAAGGAAGACTTTCCAGTTTCCTTATTTTGTTTCTGGGCTTGCCTTTCCCATCAGGATAGCACTGGTAACGTGAAAATTCCGATCAATCTTTTTTTAAGTAAGTTCTTTTTAAGTTAAGTAAGTTCTATCTTGGATTCTAAAATGGGATACATATTCTGGGGGGGAAGTGGACAGAGCTACGAGTTATTAGTGTCCTCCTTTATATGAATCATCTTACCTAAGACAGGATCTCCTTGGTTCATACTAAAAATTCATGGACAATAATCTTATTTTCTTATGAACTACTACAATCCTATACCTAATCAATTGTTAATTGTTGGGATAGTTGATAAAACAATGTAACCTTGTTTTTGCCTAAACCTTATTCAAATAAGGTACATTGTCAGTAGGGTTTTGACCCTTCTGGAGTTGGTCTCAAGAGACTGGGGGGAAAGTCCATAGTTTCAAGTACCTCAAACTTTCTCATTTGGTGTCAGAGCACGGTTGTTATTCAGCTTCTTTCGTGCAAGGCTTTTCTGGGTTTCTTGGGGTTTCCCAATCTTGGAGTTCAGAGACTGGCATCCTCTGGCATGGGTGATGCTCTCTAACCAGCTGCTGGTAACCCCTTGGCTTTGGCTTCTGAGAAGTTCAGCCTTTCTCAGGTGAGAATGCCAGTGGACAGAGAGCCTTCCTGTGTGGGATCCATAAAATGGCTTTGGATCTTGCTACCCTGAGGCTGAAGAGTATCAACCACTTATGACTGAGTTTGAACATAAGATTTCTGATCCATACCTCTTTGATCCAGGGATCTAAAATTCTACCAGTGTCCTGCAAAAACCTCCCTTTTTGCAGATTCTCCCCTAGGTTAATTACCAAAAGCCAGAACCTGATCAAGACCTATACAAACTACATTAGCTAACACTCTCCAGACCCTCTTATCTACAGGTCTGCAAAACCTGTCAGAGTTTTATCATCCTTATTTCAAAATGGATCCTTAAACTTTTTGACTGTTTTGTAATCTTTTTATGTCATGTCCTACGATTACTCATTAGTGCTTGAACTGTTTAACAATTCTGTATTCAATTTTTCCATTTCTTGATCATAACGGGTTTTTACTTATGCTCATAGAGCTTTTATATGCCTCCTCACTTTCCTTGTTCTAAGAACATACTTGGCTTTTATCTTTTAAATTCCACTGCCTTTTAAACTTAACTTGTACCAATTTAGATATCTATTATCTGTCCATAAGTGGTTCAGAGGAAAAAAGAAAACAAGGAACCCACTTAACCAGTCATTATCCTTTGCCTCTTACCCCCTTAAAATGGATAGATTTTTGGCTGCAAGAGACCTCTCCCAAAGACCAAAGAAAACACAAGTGTCCTGCAGGTCCGGTAATTTTGACAGAGCAAACTCTAAATCAGAGCCTGTGGAATAAAGCTCTGGCATGTTCCTCCTGTGAATGCTATCACGACAGACCTCTGAAGCATCCGTTTTGTGAGATACAGCATTCTCAGAAGCTAAACTCTTTTTTTTTCCCTTTCAATGATCAGTAGCCCCTCTCCATTTGCCCCGGAACCACTTACTAGGGGGACTCTCTGAGCCCAAAGCTACCCTTATGATAAAGATGAATTTGGATTCTGAAGGAGGTTTTGGCAAAAACAGTTTTAGACTGATTCATAAACTCTCCAAGCAGTTAAATATAGTTACATAAATCGAGACAGAAAGAGAGGATGATGATTTTCCTCTAAATCATATCATTACTAAAGACCACCTCGTTGGAGAAGAATGACTCATGTTAAACAAAGCACCAATAACTTGCAGACCAATTGAGTTATCCCCTGATAAATGTGATATTTGCCTCTGGGCTTAGTGCACTTCTTTGTAAATCTCTACCTGTGAGAAACTGGAGGGACAAAATGGCAAGATGAACACATGACGGGAAGAAAAGAATTATCGACACAGCCTGGACATCCTTCTGTCTTGACTGTGCCACCACAGCTGTATACCCAGGGTCCTCAGTGTTCCCTACTGCGTCAAGCAAATGCGTCTGGTGCAGGTCTCTCATCAGAGTGAAGAGGACTCCTTTTGCCCACTTTCTAATAATGCTTTTTTAACCTTTACATTCACAGAAATTTCTTATGCATTTGAAAGAACACTTAGGACACAATGTTTATTTAGTTCTAAATTTTTCCTATTGAAAGGTGAATCTTCGATTTTCCTAACGACCTAGGATCATGACTGGAGGTTTGAAAAGTTTCTTAGGCAGAGGCTGGAGGGTGACCTATTTAGGGCTATCAGCACTCTAATATGTTAGAAATTTGTTCGCTGGCCAGATGCAAACTCCACCAGGAAATCCCCAAAAGTCCACTCACTCTGGCTCTCAGATTTCTTCCACCACAGATACCATGCTGTTAAGTTTTTATCTAAAATGTCTCACACACCCCCCCCAGACACTTTGTGGAATTAGAAACCAACTGCATTTGCCAGACCAAACACAGACAGGATGCAGTTTTCCAACTGCAGGTTAGTAGGCGGCCCTGATAATTTGCTATTCCCTCTAAATTTCCTGCGAGATACACAGAGAACACACATTGTCCCTTTCCTCCTGCCGGCCCACGCTCTGTTAAGACCTTCTCATTTTCCCAAGACTAAGGGTCTTATGACATTTTCTTAGGTCACAAGCTTCAGAGCCCCAACCAACATCACTACTACTCCAGTCTCCTTTGCCTGCTTTGCCAAGATTGTTGGCCAAGACAGAAGAATTCCCGGGGGTGGCATCCCTTCCAAACTGCTAAAGTCTGCCTTCTGAGACTTTTTGGTCACAGCATATGAGACTTTTTTCAAGCCAAGTGCCTGGTTAGCACCTTCCTCCCTCTTCTGGAGATCTTAAAGCTCCCCACCCCCAACTCCCCCAAACTGCAAAGTAAATCCTCCTCAAAAGTAGCCGGAGAAACCTGGCTCTGTTAACATTTCCTCACTGTTAGTAGGAAATCTTGATTCAGCCCCAAAGCTAAAAAAAACTCTAATTATTTCAGAACAAGCTGCTGTTTTTCATATGCTGATGCCAGGGCTCCCCCTTGTGCCTTCACGGGGAACTGATTCAAGTAAGAACAGAAGGTTAGCTCATTAGGTTGTGGGGTTCCGGCTGTTCCCTAGAGCAGTGGTCCTCAAACCTCAATGTGCATCATAATTACATATAAAGTTTTACCAAATATTGGTGAAGGACTACCCTGTAGACCAAGACATTTTAAATGAGCTTTTCAGAAAACTAAAACGCAGAGCAAAGTTTGAGGATTTATCTCAGAAAAAAGCCAAATCACCAAAATACCAAAATGTGGATTAAGATCAGTAGTTCCAAAATTTTTATCTGCACAGAATTGCCTTGTGTTTTTTAAAATAATATTTTAAAGTAATCTCTACCCCCAACATGGGGCTTGAACCCACAACCCTGAGATCAGCAGTCATATGCTCCACCAACTGAGCCAGCCAGGCACCTAAGAATTGCCTTGTATTTTAAAAAACATTCCTATGCTCAACACTCAAGAGATTGTTTTGGTTTCAGGAAAGATCTAGAAATTGATTTTTAAAATAGACACCCCAAGGTATTCTGTCACAGAGTATCTTGAGAAACCCTGGCAAAGACAGCTAAATTCTGTGAAGAGAAAAAACTGCTAGAGGTCAAAGGAAAAACTTAACTTTTCCTCTTCGCACAAGGCAAAAAAACCCCAAGTTTCTAAATGGTATCATTTAACAACATGAGACTTTTTATTATTATTATTATTATTACCTTAAAACATCAGAACCCACATTGGGAGAGTGAGATACTTTCTTAAAGGACAGACCTGGGGGCACCTGGGTGGCTCAGTGGGTTAAGCCTCTGCCTTCAGCTCAGGTCATTGTCTCAGGGTCCTGGGATCAAGCCCCGCATTGGGGTCTCTGCTCACCAGGGAGCCTGCTTCCTCCTCTCTCTCTGCCCGCCTCTCTGCCTACTTATGATCTCTCTCTCTCTGTCAAATAAATTTTTAAAATAAACAAAAAAAACAAAGGACAGACCTGACCTTCGGTCATATTATCTGCTTGGAAGCCATCAGAGAGACTTCCTGAGGCCAGACTCAGGGAGGCTAGTTGCTAAGTCCAAAAAAAGGACCTTAGAGGTGCTACCATAAACAAAAGCAGCGTCTGAACTCAAAGCTCTATGGTGGGATATTGCCGAATAATTAAAGCCACTCGAACCACACCTTCTCCTAAACAAAGTGTGGTTTGCTGCCCTGACTCCAGCCTGGATGCCGGCACAGGGACCCTCCGCCACATGAGGCTCTTGGACATCAGACTCCCCCTGTCTCTTTCACTTGACACCTATTACCTTTCATTGTGTTCTCCTCTCATCATATACTTCTCTCACCTTGAAAAGGTGAAAAGAAAAATTAATTCCCAGATCCATCAGACAGAGAAACACAGCTGGTGAGAGATGAATACTAGTGTACCTTTATGTCCCAAAGTAAACCCGCAATATTGTTAGCACTGCTAATCTTTTTAAGATATCAAGCAGTTGCCATAACACTTAGACCACTGATTTCCAATACTGCAGTGACATGAGCAGAAGAGCTTCAGATCTCTCATGGGTTATGGTGAAACTACCAAAAACAAAATTAAGTCAACCATTTTCTTTTTTAAAATATACATTTTCACTAGCTTGATGGAGAAAAACCTGCAAGTCAAACTGTGCTCCAAAGGTACCTTAATCCCACACAGAGATTAGAAATAATCTACATACGGAACAATAAATAAGTGCAAAGAATGAAAATCAGTAGACATCTAAATGGCACTCATGCCATGAAAACAGTAGGTAAGCTGACAGTTCTGAGTCCATGAAATTGCTCGTTCTCTCCTAGAGTTCCCATCCAGGTGGACTGTATTAGTCAGACTGAGACTGTGGAGAGCTGTTCTCTCAATGCCAGTAAGTTAAATGAATTGTATTGTGTATTCTACAGATGAGACTCTACCTCCGTCATTCTGCTACCATTCATCAGAAAACGAAGGAGCTGGAAATGGAGCATACAAATTATCTACTGTGCCCCCCCTCCCCCCTGCCTTACAGAGAAAGAAGCTATGATTGGGAGGGTAGATTACTTCCGTCTAGACCACCAGGTAGTTCACTGATGAAGTACTATCAGACAGGTTATGTATAAAGCAGCTCTTAGGGAAATTAGGACTAACCACTATGAATTAATACGAGGATACAAACACAATAATTATATAATTAGTTAAATAATTTTCAAGACAAACAGACACTTAGGCAAACAGGAGGAGAATATGGCCTTGAGGAGACGGGGAAGTACTGAGATTGGTAAAGACCTACTCCTCTTAAGAGATGCTCAGCACATTCCCACAACAAAAACCTACATATTCTTCTGTTCTTCCTGCTTTGCATTCCTAGAGGATATGTCTTAAAATAGTAGGATTCTGAGAGTTTTGCTGCCTCACAATAAATACAAATGTGAAATTGACCACATAGAAGTAAGAATACCTGGGGACTGAAATCACTCCTGCTCCTGGTTTAGTAGGATTGCACCTCATTTTCACAGCAGTTGACCGGCCATTGACACAAGATGTCGTAGTCGTAGAAGACCTATCACAGGGCAAATGGCATTTTACAGAACAGACACAACACAGATCACCAAGACATAAATAACCTGTGTGTAACTGTTCCCACACTCTGTGCAACAATGAATAAGAAAAATGTGTCCGAGTTCACTAATTAAAAATTTTAATACAAACTGAGCTCATTTGCTTTCACTGCCTAGGAAAAATGGACTATTTTCTCAGGTAAAGTAATAAGCTATCATCAAGGTGTTTAGGCAAGTCACCATAATTATAATCAAAGTCATAATCACAAAAATTTTTCAAAGGGAAGAGAGGTTGTGTCTACTTTGGCTAATATTGAAATGTCTGAATTACAAATACTGCCTGGACAAGAAGTAGAGTCTCTTTATTGCCCAATTTATAAGAAAAAAAAATATATATATATATAAAGTATATATACAAGAAATAGATATAAAGTAGAAATATAGAAAAAATATAATCATAAAAAAGATATATATTATACATATCAGAACTTATATAACATTTTAAAAATAGTTCATGTTTCCTGCTTTACACTAAGTCTTCTATTTAAGAACTAATCGTTGAGTATCTATTAAGTATAATAAGCTACTATTCTAGGTACCAAGATACTCTTGATTAAAATAGTCAAGGGAAGCAGCATCTTCACTTACTTATAAAAGAAATGCACATCTGGTATTTGGCTAAAGGGAACTGGGAACATTTCTTCTTTTATATTAATATTTTGCAATGTCGTTTCAATGGTCACTCCTAGATGACAACAAAAAAGAAGCTGTTAAGCAATACGGAAGAATGAGATTTATTTAGTCTCTGTGCATCTGAATAGAAACCAGCTTTACTTGGATACTGTCATTTGACCAGAAATATTGTATTAAATCTATGCATTCACAGTAAGATAAAGTACCATTCCAAACTCTAAGAAAAAAAAGAAAAGAATCTACTCTATAGCTCTGTAATTTTGCTCAAGTCACTTCACATCCCTGGGCCTTATGTCCTAAATCTGTAAAATGCATGAAATAATTGAGATGATCTCTAAAGCCCCTTCCAGCTCTAACACTTCAACATCCTAACATTATTAAAATTCTCGGCTTCTAATGAGTTGTATTGTAAGAGCTGGGCTGTTTTGTTAATACAGCTTTTCACTCAATATAGACACACCTGAGAAAACAAAAAATTTTTGTACCCAATAACTTCCAGAAAGCAACTCCAAATTTTATTTAATCTAAAAGTCAGGCACTTCTCCCATCCCTTGAAGACAAAATGATCACAGAGCCAAAATGCAAGCAGTAACAGCAACCTCTCCAGCTGACTCGGTAACTGACCACGGTGCTGAAAATTAAAGCTAAATTCCTCTGGAGTTGATAGCAATGGTTCTCAACTCTGCTGTACATTAGAATCACAAGAAGCTTGTTAAATTGTTATACTGTTATATCACCATCCCAGAGGTTCTAATGAACTCGATCCATAAAAATCACTAAGTGGTCATTCTTAAAACTTTCTTATGCCTTCTAGTCTACAAAGACAGGAAAGACAGACCGGGAATAAAGCTCCCCACATTCACCTTTACTAAGTGTCACCAACTTACTTATGCAAACTGGTGGTGGATATTATGATTTAGGTTTATAAAATATTTGTTTGCTGTCCTTTTGTTTATAGTTTTGGTTTCTAATCTTATTCTGCTTCTTAAGCTCCTGGAGAATTTGATGAAAAGCATAGACTCTCAAAAAAAAATTATGCATAAATTCAGGAGATGCTTGCACTCACTTAGATTGACCAATAGATCTCAACTTCAGGGGCTTTGGAACCATGTTAGAAAGTGATGATTTAGAATTACCTGCGGCCATCATCATCTATGGCAAATACCAACACAATGACAAGTTACCAGTACTGTAATTTTAGAATAACTGCATGCATACATACAGGAACCAAATGAAGCTTACCTAGAAATGTATCTGCCAGAATGATGGACTGTGATGATAAGGCTGCTCGGAAACCCTTACTTTCAGAAGGAATAATAGTTGACTGGCATACATAGGCTCCTACCAAATTTGTATAATCATCGGACCCCGCCACTATTTCCTTTACTGTGAAGTCTGTTATATTGTTGGTACAGAGAGCCATCTTCTTCCCCTATGAAAATAAAGTCATAAAGAGAAACCTCTTTGTGTATGTGTATGTGTGTGGAAGAGTCAGTCCTTACATTAGATCTCAGAGAGCTCATGACCCTCGTAGAGCAGTGGCTCTCTCCTCACTGCAGACATTCTGCTTTAATTGGTATGGTATGGGGCCCAGGCACTGGCATATTTTTTTAAAGCTCTTGAGGAATTCCAACGTTTAACCAGGGTTGAGTCATTTAAATTACAATGAATATAGAAATTCAAGACTGCACTGCTCTTCCAACTACAAGCATCATTTGTGCTGGATGAAAGCCATCTAACTTAAGGAACTAAAAGTCACCCATGAGACCATCAGTTCAAAGGATAACAATGTGTTCAAAGAGACCAGATAACTCTTGGTGAAGGTTTTAATGTCAAAGAAAAAGACGTGCTCTTCCTTCTCCTTTATTGGTCTGTTGTGGCAAAAAGGTAATATGAAGTCTGAAGAAGAAAGCCTAAAAGTCCTATTGCAGCAAAATTTAGGACACCATCTAAATTCTTAATAGTTGGTCACTACAAGTGTCTTCATTCAGCTACTCAAACTCAATGACGTGTAACTACTCAACTACAGAGGAAGGTGAAGGGAATACAGGAGTTTACTTTTTGAATCATTCACTCAGTTGGAATATGTAATCTATAAAAATTGGAAGACTGTTTAAATATACTATAGTCCCACTACAAACAACTATAGCTTTATAATTCCTATGTAGGACAGTATAAAGGGAAAAAGGAAGACTACTTTATTAGTCTTAGCTGTAGGGTGAGCACACATGGGCCCAAAGAAAGGAACGTCAACTTATCTTTCTTCATGCAGTTAGCAATCTGAACTTAAAAGTTTCTTCCTCCACTAAGCCTTCTCACAACAATACAGGTACAATATATTGTTACTAAGCTTAAATTGTTGAAACTGAGAAGAGGAAAACAAGGGAAAAGATCAGAGAGAAACTACTGAGGAAAGAAAGGGGAAAACAGCAACAAAAGGAAAGGAGTTAGAAAAAGAAAGGAAGAGAAAGAGGACAGAAAAGAAGAGGGGATAGAGGGAAGGCAAGACAGTGGTAACAGAGGCATAAGGACAAAAAGAAATGTAATATGTAATGTAAAGAATCTCATTCACCGCTTCACTCAATATTTAGCAAAACACATATTTAATATGCATTTATTTATTGAATGAACTGAGTGACTAACCAGCTGAGTGCTTTAGATTACTCCCCGTGAAATCAGAACAGGACAAACACCACACCATGTAAAATTTATAGATCCCTTTGCCTGAAAACATCTGTGGTCATCAGATCTCGTTTTATTTTCTTTGCATAAAATCTGGCACAGCATCTCATAATGAAAATCATTATCTCTGGGGTTCCAGGGGCTGGTGAATAAGTGCTCTGATGGACAGAGAGGCAGACAAGGCCGGCCCTGCTGGAGAAAACTGCCAACATGCTAAGAGGCAACGCAGGATTTAAGCAATCACAGCTCAGTTTCTGACATTTGGTTGTTAGTTTCTGTAGAGATTTTATTGGGCCATCCACACAGAAAATATCAACTCAATCAGAGCTGAAATACAGCTCCATCTCATTTTGACAACCAGAACTCACCTCATGCCCACATAAACTAATATTGAAGAAGTGGAAATATTTGGTTCCTTTGGAGGTAAAGCTGGGTCCATTCATCAATGAGCCCACGCTGCTGAGGTTGCTGAAGTCATAGTGCAAACTCTGATTTTCTTTATCGTGGTGGAAAAAGCAGTCACTATAGCAAACTGAGTGGTCCTTTGATTAAAGATTAAGAAACAAAAAAATATATATAGTAGAAAACAAAATATTAGCTGCTATGAAAAATGTGTTTCAAAAACAGTTCTATGTTTAAAAATATTTTCTTTTTTTTGGTCTTAGTTATGGTTTATCACATGAATATAGAGAATTTCTAAAAAATAATTAGATTTTCCAAGGCAGAGTACAGAAAAATCAGCATTTTTTAAAGTAAGAGCAAAGTTATTCTAAGACCAGTTTCTTGGAAAAAGGTATTTTAATAAATAGCCAAAAGTCCCTGTTATGCCAGTTTCAAGAGACAGTAAAACTACTTTCTCCTTCACCCATAATATAACATCAACCTTTGGCCTTAAAATACTCTAAGATATACTTGCTGCTCTCCCCATATTCCTATGGCCAACCCACAGAGGGAGATTACTTGCTCCCCCCTAACAGAATACACAAAAATCTAATTTTTAATATTTTTGGAAACCATTCTTATTGGAGTGCTTTTCTTAATATCTGATGCCCCCAGGAACTCGGGCTTTCATGGCACATAAGACATGTTCACGTGCTGCATAAATGTAAGAGGAGAGAAAACAAGAAGAATGAAAAAGCCATTTCTAAATAGAATTACAACATAGTTCCTGGAGAAATATTAAGGGGATCTTATGAGTGTCTCTATTAAAGTTTTCCTGGGAATAACAGAAACACACACTCACTTACCTGAGTGCTTCTACTCCCAGGCCCACATGGGATACAAGCCTCCTTGCCATAGACCTGATGTATGGACAGGTAGGTGTCAGGTGGACACTCCTTGCACTGGTTGGTTTCTTTCTCAATGTAGTGGCCTGGGGGGCAGGGGACACACGATGAGCCCGACTGTTCAGAACCGAGGGCACAGGCACGGCATGAGGACGCCACCCCATCAACTGCGTTAGTGGCAGTGATAGAATAAATCTTCACCATGTCATTGATGAACCGTCTATTCTAAAAAGAGAGCAGAAAGTAATGACTTCTGCCTTGGGGCTTAATTGTACAACCAGATCGTTTTGTGTGGATATCACCAAAATAGCTAAGCAGAGTGTTCCAGACTAGCAGTTTATAATCGATAGTGGATTAAAATTACTTCTTCTTGGTTCTTTAAAAAAAAAAAATCTTAAATCTTAACACTAGGAGCTAATCTCCATAGTAATGGAGTTCTAGGAGGTTATCCACAATCACCGCAAGATCAGGCATGTTTATAGGCTTTACATCTGGAAGAACTGGTATGGTTTAACACAGGAGCAACTTTATCTCCCATGATGGTTTATTCAGAGATAAGCCTAACTGTAATGATACAATAGGATGTTTGCAGGGTAGCAAATGGTAAAGTTTTTGAAGAGGGGTTAGCCTTGAAAGACTAGGACTCTGGTCCTCACCAAACACTGACCATGATGCCATCACACCATCCCTTTGGGACTTTCTCTCTCTCTCTCCAGTACTTTCCCTGACCTATATATGGATTTCTAGTGAAGGGTTGCAGAGTAGAGAACAAATCCCTGGGTCTAACTATACTTTTTCTTCTTGTAACATTGGGTCAATCAAGAACTAGTTCTCACCAGGCAGTGGCACCACTCTATCAGTAGAGAACAGAGCTACCCTAGACTATTAATGTCTTTTGTCTGGGGGAGGGACAACAAGAAGATGAGGAAACATTCCACAGCATGTTCATGCCCCACGTGATGGTAACCCAAACACCCATCAACAATCAGAGTCAAATAACATCTGGGAATGGGTTCCCCAGGGAAAGTCCAAAGAGAAAAGAGAAAATGTTCTTCATGTGTCACCACAGCTTTAAGTGGTTTACCTTGTTTTCACCTTGGGAAGGTCACGTCTATGGAAATCCACAAAAGTAAGTCTTGTTACTATCAAAACATACAACGGAACTTACTTAGGGGAGAATTAAGGTCTACTCTAGCAGGGACAGTAAAAGAAAATAAATAATTCTGTGTGTAAACCCAATCATGTGTACATACACACTCTCCAGGCTATAAAAGGCGACATCACTACAATGAAATAATAAACCAACACCAGTTAATGGCTCCAGGACAAATGTCAGACCATTCAGAAAAAGAGGAAGACAGTCACCAGCCTTCTCAAAGTCTTAGAAAGCCTTAAAGACACCTTTTAATAACTGCAGTCAGATTTTCTTTCTCTTAAGCTTTCAGCAAATATATCTGTTTAGTGTAGAACTATCCAAAGGATACGTTGTGTTATTCAATTTCATACGTTCTTGCTCTCAAACCATTTTAATACAAATCCTCTCCATAACCAAATGATTGATCCCATATCGATAGAAAACTAAGTCTTTTCCTCCAGGAGAGATAGGTGATCATTTTGTACAAATTTTCCTCGGGAGCATGATCTTTGCATTGGAAAAAAAAAAGTGCTTGGAACTTACATCTTGACCTTGATTGGTTCTCTGGAATGCCCATGTAAATGTAAATGTTGCATTCTTGAATATGATGTGGGTATAAGCTTGCTTTTCTTTGGTTCCACCCCATGATTCCACCACATTGGTACTTTTTCTATTAATATCCTAATATATAGTAGAAAATATAAACAAAAAAGCACAAACTCAGGATTAATATACATGTGTATACATTACAAATATGTCTTTACAAAAACCCCTGGAGGGTCAATGAATATTTATCTGCAGAGCATGTCACCCTAGAACTCTCAAAACCTCCCTCCAAGTCTACGCAAGCACTTACCAGCTTAGTAATTACAGTTTTTCAAACACATTGTCAATATAACCTGAAAGAAGTCTCAAATTGTAGTACATTTAAGTGTGTGGGTGTGTGTGTGTGTGTGTGCGCGCGCGTGCACGCGCATGCGCATGTGTCTGTGTGCAGGTGACTCTAGCTTAGGAAATACACTTCCAGAGCGCCTGGGTGGCTCAGTCTGTAAAGTGTCTGCCTTCAGCTCAGGTCATGATCCTGGGGTCCTGAGATCAAGTCCCGCATCGGGGTCCCTGCTCTGTGGGTGAGAAGGGAAGCCTCTCTGTTTTCCATTTCCCCTGTTTGTGTTCTCTCTCAGTCAAATAAATAAATAAAATATAAAAAGAAAAATGGGGCGCCTGGGTGGTTCAGTGGGTTAAAGCCTCTGCCTTCAGCTCAGGTCATAATCCCAGGGTCCTGGGATCAAGCCCCGCATCGGGCTCTCTGCTCAGCAGGGAGCTTGCTTCCCTTCCTCTCTCTCTCTCTGCCTGCCTCTCTGCCTACTTGTGATCTCTGTCTGTCAAATAAATAAATAAAATCTAAAAAAAGAAAAAAAAAACCTTTATAAAAAAATATATAAAAAGAAAGAAAGAAAGACACTTCAAAGGGAAAACAATTTCCTCCAATTTCTCATAGTAAACGACTAAGCTCCTCACAGAAGAGCAAGGCTTTCCATGTTTGCCTTTTTCCTTGAGAGATTCTGCTAGGCAGCTCTTACACAGGAGTTCTAAGTTCCTCTTGAAGTACACTTGCAACTTCCAGGCTTCTCCAAGTATTTATTAACCAGAATGTTATTTTAAGTCCAAAGAATCATCTTCTGCTGCTTAAACTTGAATTCCAAAGGAATATGTGTAAATATTTTATTTCTGATTTCCTTAGCTAAATTCAATATTTAGAATATCCTACAAATGTGTGACATTCTAACCAATATGCTGTCATTAAGATGATTAGAAAACAAATATAGTAAGTCAACCAAATAATGTAATATACAACTAATTAATTTGAAGTGAAAATCAAAGCCAGCCTTGAATTTTCTAATTAGTGGTCCCTACAGAAACCCTACTAGATGACTTAGAAATTCGGATGGGCTTCTGTTACATTATCCGGGATGTTGACCATATGGTGGCATGAGCTCAAGATATGTCTGTTTCTTTCTATGATATAAACATAGGAGTCAAACATTATAAAGTAATCAAATATGCTGTAAAGAGATGTGTCTTGAGTTCACACCACAGACAGGAATAACAGAATGTGCTTGTCATACATTACAGAATTCTCCACGTTACCAAATGACCAAACCACCATACATGCCGCTTCCTAAAAGGAACTCAGAATACACAGACAGTTCTCTGTTAAAACATCATCTTTCTACATGTTTATTCCAATAATAAATGAAATCTATTGCATTACCACAAATAATGCCATCTTACCTTTGTAAAAGGTTTTGAAAACCTGCATGGTTTTGAGAGCATTTCTATACACTATTTAATTGACATCACAAAAAATCCTGTGAGAAAACCGAATCAAACAGAGAGGAAAGAAAACTAACAGATTCTACAATGAGCTAAACCTCTAAGATTGATTTACAAAAATAAATAGCTATGATTCCTACCCTCAGGATTGCTTGGTCAAATGAGAGAGACAAAAACATCAATACAGTCACATAGTTAAAACAGAGTTTTCTCAAGGAGTTTTTGGAGCACACTGGAGAGAACGGCTAATTTCACTTAAAGGACTAAGAGAAAGCTTCCCAGAAGAGGTGAAGTTTGAGCACCCCTTGAATAATGTGTGGGAGTTTACCAGACAAAGGAGCAAAAGGAAGAAAGCCATTCTGGCTCAGAGTGCCAAGTATGAGAACTGAAGTACAGAGCAGCCCTCTAACAAATTCAGGATGTCTAAAGAGGTGTGAGTAGTAATGGTCGACTTGGTAAAAAGAAGCTGGGCAAAGAGGACAAAAACCCAAACCGAGCCATGCTAAGAAATTTTAAGTGTATTCAGAGGCTACTGGCACTCAAACCTTCGTTGATGTTAGAACCACCCTTGTGGCTGGCTAGAACACAGATATCCGGGCCCATCGCCAGAGCTTCTCATTAAGACCAGGAGGGGGCCGAGAAATCTATGTTTCTAACAAATTCCCAGGTGATGCTGGTCCAGCGACCACACTTTAATCGCCACTGTCATAGGCAGTAACCAACCAGCAAGGGGAAGAAGGCAGATTCATTGTAGACGTCTCCATTACTGTTTTGATGCTTATAAAGAACATTTGGACAGTAGCATATATGAGAGAATGGAAAGAAAAAGAATACAGATGGCTACCGAGAAAGAGTGAGAGTCAGGACCTCAGTAATGGCACTGATGGTGAAAAAGAATGAACAGATTAAAGAAATACAGAGGCAGAGCTGGGAATTGAATTATTGCTTATTTGTAGTGTATCAAATGGATGTTTTGGGGCGTCCAGGTGGCTCAGTGGGTTAAGGCCTCTGTCTTCGGCTCAGGTCATGGTCCCAGGGTCCTGGGATCGAGCCCCTTGTCAGGCTCTCTGCTCAGTGGGGAGCCTGCTTCCTTCACTCTCTCTCTCTCTGCCTGCCTCTCTGCCTACTTGTGATCTCTGTCAAATAAATGAATAAAATCTTATAAAAAAAATAAATGGATGTGAAGATTATTCATGATCTTCTTTTACTATGACAAATTCCTTTTTTTTTTTTTAGAAGAAAACAGCCTGCCTTCCCTTAAGCTGGCAGTAATTACAAATATTAAAATCTTCATCTAATTTGTATGTCACAGAGGAAACTGTTAATAGACTGCTAACTAGCTTCTAAAAGACTTGGGAGAAAAGCAAAAACAATGTCTTTGAAGTCACTACTTACAGTGTTAAAATCTTAGCCAACAACATTGTAATACCCACAGAAGATCTTAATAAATTTTTTGTTGCTACTTTTCTCAAGCTAAGAGTTGAAATGTATAGGCCATCTAGAAAAAATTGGGCAGAAGTATGACATGCACATAGTAAGTCCTTTGTCTACATTTATTAATTTAACAGTGAAGAGTTTCCTTATAGAGGTTTTTCCTTCCTAGTGGTTTGAACTACAGAATGGTTATTAGAGGAGAGTTTTCATTGTGCTGATGGCATATCTTTATGAAGGAGTTTTTACCAGATTACTATCCCCTGACTTCCATCAATCACCTGAGCCCCCTTGCTCAGTCCTCCCCATGAGGTACACAAGCTTTCTTTGTGGGCTGCACTGCACATTTCTTAGTGACTTCTTTAGATATTTTTTAACTTTCTGCAAGGACCTAAGAATGGGAAGAAAAATGGGATTCTTATCCCAACTTGCATGAATGAATTGGCACTTGAAAGAAAATGCCAAGCTTAGAAGCCTGCCTTTGAAAGCCTCTCTTACACTTACCACCATGAAGTATAGAACACAGTCAGCTGAACAGAGGGTCTCAAAGACAAATGTTATTCTTCCCAGTTCAGAACCCATGGCTCCAGTCATAGACGTTGGTGGCCTATTTGACAGATTAAAATTATAATATTTATTGTATATTCTAAATACAGTATGACACAAAACTAAGCCACTTTCTTCATTAAGCTGAAAGCAATGCTCTTCTCTTCCCCTAATCAATGGCTTCCCACAGCCACTTCTTCCTTGCTCCATCTCTGTGTCCCCAGACCATCCCAGTAAGGAGCTTACACAATGATGGTAATATGCTTGAATCTCCTGATTTAACTATTACCATCCATCCTAAAGCAAGCAAAATATGCCTATTGGGAAATGTCAACATGGAGAACTAAAGCAAAAAAGGATTTGAACAGTTATAACATACTACTTTACAGATAAAATTGAGAAAAAATAAATTTATAAACCAAAAAATACTCCCACAAACAACAACTTGGGCAAAAACTTCTTCATTAAGCATCCAATAATCATGGTTATTGTAACATTTGGATAGAATTATTGTTAAAAACTTTCAGCTTCATCTAAACATACAACTAATGGTTACAGTTTCTCAATCACCAATTCTCAGATATTCTTAAATGTAATACATTATCCTACAACAGTTCGTTATTTGCTAAGTCCATCAAAACATAAGTATATTTTAGGAAAGCAGTCCTACTGCATCTATTTCTATAGGGAAACAGGCATGAGGATTCTTACAGAAAGGAATCAGAATTGGTTTTCCTTACTTAAATCCTGGGATATGCAAGTTTAAGATCAGGTAATCATTATCTGAACCTCCAGCTCCACTCTGGATATGATCTCCAGCCACCTCCCAACCTGGAAATGAGATAAGGTAACTTTATCAGTAAAAATCCCATTGATTCCCAACAATATTTTTAAATAGGGTAAAAAAATTAAAAAGACTATTAGTGTTTATGTTCAAAGTTAGAAATAACTCCGTGTTGATCTTCTACTTAGAGGATCTGTCCATTATAGTGAGTAGGGTGTTGAAGTCCCCTATTATTGTATTATTATCAATGTGTTTAATTCTGTTATTAATTGGTTTATATAATTGGCTGCTCCCAAGTTAGGAACATAAATATTTATAATTGTTAGATCTTGTTGGATAGACCCTTTAATTATAATATAGTGTCCTTCTTCATTCCTTACTATTGTCTTTGGTTTGAAATCTAATTTGAATGATTTAAAGACTGCTACCCCAGCTTTCCTTTGATGTCCATTAGCATGATAAATATTTCTCCTCCCCACCTCACTTTCAATTTTGTAAGTGTCTTTAGGTCTAAAATGAGTCTCTTGCAGACAGCATATGGATGGGTCTTGCTTTTTTATCTACCTGATACCCTGTGTCTTTTGATTAGGGCATTTAGCCCATTTACATTCAGAGTTAACTATTAAAATGTAAGAGTTTAGTGCCATTGTATTACCTGTAAAGACCCCATTTCTGTAGGTTGTCTCTGTTTCTTTCTGGTCTGTATTACTTATGGGCTCTCTCTTCACTTACAGGATCCCCTATAATATTTCTTGCAGGGCTGGTTTAGTGATCACAGTCTTTTAGCTTCTGTTTGTCCTGGAAACTCTCTACATCTCCTTCCATTCTGAATGGAAGGAGATATGCTGGATAAAGTATTCTTGGCTGCATGTTTTTCTCATTTAGTACCCTGAATATAACATGCCAGCCCTTTCTGGTCTTCCAGGTCTCTGTGGCTAGATCTGCTGTCAGTTTAATGTTCCCTCTCTCTTTCTTCTTCCCCTGGGACACCAGTAATTTTAATATTATTTTGCATTATGGTATTACTGATTTCTCAAATCCTCACCTCATGGTCCATTAGTTGTTTTTCTCTCTTTTCCTTGGCTTCCTTTCTTTCCATCATCTTGTCTTCTATGTCACTGACTCTCTTCTGCCTCATTTACCCTACCTGTTAGAGCATCCATTTTAGATGGCATCTCAGTTAAAGCATTTTTAATTTTGGCCTGATTAGATTTTATTTCTGCACTAAGAGATTCTCTAGTGTCTTTTCTGTTTTGTTCAAGCCCACCTAGTATCTTTATAATCATTATCCTGAATTCCAGCTCTGGCATTTTACTTATATCCATATTGATTAGATCTGTGGCAGAGAGTATTACCTCTGGTTCTTTCTTTTCTTGTGAATTCTTCCTTCTAGTCATTTTGCTCAGAGAAGAATGGATGAACAAGAGAATAAAATCAAAAGTATCAACCATGACCCAAGCAAACTACACACTAGACAAATCTGAAGAGATCAGAAACCAAAAAAGAAAAGGGGAAAAAAAGGGTGGGGGGGGGGGGAAAGGAGAGAATATAATCTCCCAGGTGGACAAAACAGGTGATCCACTTGGTCGTAAGTATATTTTGGTCTGTTTGTTAGAAGACACTAAATCCTAAAATTGTAAAGAAAACAAAACATACATATATACAAAAATAAAATTGAATACAGTGAAAGGAAGCCAAAAATGAAGAACATATTTATAAATGTAAAAGCAAAAGTTTAAAAAAGACTTAAAAACAAAAAGTTGATAAAATAAGAAACTAGCTGAAAAAGAAACAAAAAGGAAAATGCTAAACTGAAAGATAAAAGAATCATGAGAAAAAAAACCCTCAAATTCTACATACTATTTTCCCCTAGCACTGGAGTTTTGGAGTTCTTTGTGCTCGGTAAACTTTGTATTCTCCTGATGTTCCAGCTGGTCTTCTGGGGGAGGGGCCTACTGCACTGATTCTCAGATGTCTTTGCCTGAGTGAAGTTACACCGACCCTTGCCAGGGAGCCAGGGTCAGTGTAAGCTGCTCTGGGTGCTCTATGTGGCTTTTGTTCCCTGAAGGCTTTCTGCCCCGCTTTAGAAAATGAAAATAAAAATGGCAGTGCCTTTTTTTTTTTTTTAATAATCTGCAAAGAAAAAAATATTATAAAATGAATAACCCATTTGGGGGTCAATTCCATGTGCTTGATAATGGCATGCCATTTATCAGTGGGTAATTCCTTACCTTCTGTGTTGTTTTCTTCTGAATAAATTGCAAGTCAGAAAAAAAAAAGTCAGAAAAAAAAAAAAATGGCAGTGCCCTGATCACCAGCCCTGGAACTGAAAGATTGGGGCCCCTCCTCTTTAGTAAACCCTCAGGGAATATCAGTCTTCACTCTTGTGTGTGCCAAACTCCAAAGAAGACTGCATCTCACACCTGCACCTTTCCTCAGGGGACCAGAGAGGGAAGAGAGAGGGGAGGGAGCAGAGCCCCACAGGGAGAGCTGTTGCTGGATCATTCTGCACCCTTGTACCCTGCCTGGGGGAAGGAGGAGGTTGCCATGTTCTGTCCTTTGCAGGGCACCCTGTTGCCATGGTTTGTGGTTTATAGAAAACAGAGCTGAAAGCCCACTTGCAGGCTTGCTGACCATAGCCAGTTTCCCCGCTCCAGTGCTTAGGAACTTTGTCAGCTCAGACACCCCCATTCTTTCTGTGACCTCAGGGACCCTGAGACCACGCTGTCCCACCTAGGACTTTGCCCAGCTTCATGACCTGAGCACCTTTCAGGCAGGACTGTCTCTCCCTGGAGCAGAATTATAAAAGTTCCAATTATGCACACTGGGGCTATATTACTTTCCAGGAGCTGGCTTTTAGAGGCTCCCTCCCTCCTACCCCGACCCATGGTTTATCTTCCAATACATCACCTCAGATTCATGTCTCTGCTCCTCCTGCCTTGCAAAAAGTGGTTACTTTTCTATTTGTAGAATTCCAGCAATTCGTTTCTTACATCTCAGATTGAATTCATAGGTTTTTAGAATGATTTGATAGATATCTAAATTCAAGGGACCAGATGAAATGAGATCCCCTAGGCTTCTACTATCTTGTCTCATCCCCTCCAAAGTTAGAAATACTCCAAAAGAATTCCCTATGTTTACACTGCAGTTGTAAATTGCATGCAGAGGCAGACTCCTAATATCAATAAAGACATTCCATATGATTCCTCAGGAAGAATCAAGTAATGCATATTTTTGCACAGAAGCTATTTAAGGGAAAACTAATAGCAGTTTTCTAAATTCAGCTTTTTTTAAACGAAAATAGAGGGTCTTTATCTTTTCCAATAAACTGAAATGGAAAATCTTAGTCCTCAGATAACCAACAGAAACTAGAAATTTCAAATTACTTAAAGAAGAAGATTTGGGGTCCAGAGTTCTTTCTTATAGTTTGCTCTATTGCTGGTCCCTAATTTACAACTACTATTCTGCATTCATTCACTTATTCACTCGAGAGGCCTTCATGGACTGCCAAGAACCATGAGAAGCACTAGGGTTAGGAAGACAAGGCTGGGTCTCCCCTCTCTGAGGGTCAGTAGCATCTAAGAAGAAACCTATGCTAACAATTGACAAGAGAATGGGGAGACAGAGCTGCACATAGAAGGTGATGGGAGGTCTGTCCTCTGCATAGAAATAATCAACATACCATAGGCTGAAATGGCCACATTAAATGAGGAAAGGAGAAATATCTCCCAAGTACCATTATTTATTTGTTTTCAGAAATCATATTATAAATTATAAAATTTTGAAACCACAGAAAAATTTTAAGATGAAGACTACACTTACTTTTAACCCCATCACCCAGAATAAAACCACTGCTTATATTTTGAGTAGTTTCCTTTCATTATCTTTGGATGCTTAGGTTTTTACATCTTTGAGATTGTGTTGTTGATAACATTTAGTGTCACGGTTTTATATGTTAACATTATTGCATAAGCATTTTTATGCATAAATACTTCACCAACATATTCATGACTGAATTAATAGTTTATCATGTAGACGGATATAATTAATATCCATAATTTACCAATCACACTAACAGACTTACCTCCTTTGACCACACACTCAATTTAACCATTTGGATTGTTTTTACCTTTTAGGTGCTATAAATGACACTGTAATAATAAACTTATTTTTGGTAAAGTTTTTCTGTATTTTTTTTAGAAAAGAATCTTGGTGAAAGAATTACTAGGTAAAATAGATATATTTTTAAACCAGTGTTTTGTGCTGTTATGGTGATTTGGAAAGCAATGTGAATCAAGGAGGAATATTTGTTAAATATGGCAAAACTTAACAAAAAAATATGAAGCAATTCATACTTCCCTGTAACTTCCCACTTCCAAGTGAGAGCCTCTTAACATTTCAATGTATTTCTTTTCCATCTTTTTTTAGTGTACACTTTAACATACCTTAGATTTTAATGGATACTCTATTTTCTGGTTTTTTTATTTAGCACTATCTTCTGATTTTTCTCATTAGTATTATTTTGAAAACATTTTCCCATTAAAAATCCTTACTACATCTAATTTTAATGATTTAACAATAGGTTCCATGATTACATAATTTAATTTAATCAAATCCCATTGTTGAAAATCTAGTTTGTTTCCTCTTAATTAGCACTAAAGTTAACATATTTTTCCATAATTTCTTTCTTTACATCTTTACATTGTTACCCAGGTATAAATTCCCAGAAATGGAATAAATGGGTTGAAGAAGAACATTCAAAATTCTTGAAACACTGTCAAATTGTTTTCCAGATGACTGCCATTTTAAATGTTTGCATAATATTTCTTCTATCAGTACAGCATAACTTTCATAAACATAATCTTTTGCTGGATACTTAGACTATTTCAATTTCTGTTATTATAGATAATGCTCACTGAACATCTTCATGCATAAACAGTAACTTCTCTCCAACTATGGGTAACTTTAAGGCAAACTTGCAATACATGAAGATGTACTTCTGTGTATCTGGTCTGCAACTATGTACAATTTAGACTGAGAAGACATGAATCTCCAAGTACTCCAAGTCACACAGTCAATTTAGCCAAAGCACATCCACTTGAACCCATGACTGGGTGATCCCCTCATGACACCTGGGCCTCTCACTTTGGTCCCCATTCTTGTCAGTGCTATTCCTCTCAAAGCTGAACTGTCCGGGCATAAAAATATACATCACCTTTTATCTTCATTTTTGTATTATATTTTTCACATGACTATTTGTTATTCTAATATCACATACTAATAGTGAAGAGATGTCTATTTTTCAAATTAATAATTAAACATTTCTGAAAATTATCAAAAATGTACATTTTAGCCTCTAAGTAAAGGAGGAAGCAAGTGGCTACCATTGAGTATTATCATGAGAGTTAGACCAAGTTCTCCAAAAGATCAAGTAAAAGTTCCAGATAATCTTTACTAGTAAGTGAATACACACACACACACACACACACACACACACACACACACACACACACAGTCGATGCTTTCATGAGTTCTTTCAATTCCCTGGCCTTCCTAATCTTATTTTTCCTCCATAAGTCTTAACTTCTTCAACTTAGAATTCAATCATGGGATCTTTTAGGAACATAAACCCTCATGGTCAAGTAATTACTACTGTATTTTTTCTTCTTCTCCCTTAGGATAACTTCCTAGAAGTGGAAGTATTCAAGGACCTACTATTTTTCAATCTTCATTTTCATGTGTTCACCTCACTTCCTACATCCCAAGTATATTTATTTCAGATAGGTACTGACTTAAAACAGAAGCAATTTAAAAGAATTTTTTAAAACAACAAAATGTAATATGGAGAAAAAGTGGGCTCATTAAAATTGCTAATGAGATGATGAAAGTAAAAGGATGCATTTTGGTATAAAACCCTAGTATTTGTGAATAGCTACTCCTAGCATTAAGTCTAAAAATACATGTATAGGGGCGCCTGGGTGGCTCAGTGGGTTAAGCCTCTGCCTTCGGCTCAGGTCATGATCTCAGGGTCCTGGGATCGAGCCCCATATCGGGCTCTCTGCTCGGCGGGGAGCCTGCTTCCCCCCCCCCCCCCCCTCTGCCTGCCTCTGTGCCTACTCATGATCTCTGTCTATAAATAAATAAATAAAATTAAAAAAAAATACACATATAGATACTGTCACTCATTCAACCAGAAAATATTGCAGAAAACTAAGTGCTAGCCTCTCTCGAGTCTTAAAATATTGGAACAAATAAAATTCAGCCACAATCTTATAAAACTCTGTCACATTTTCAAGTTTTCAATAAGTGAGGCTTACATATATTCTGTACACACAATCATAGATTTCACAGGGAAGGGGACTTAGAGCTGACCTCACCTCTCAACACAGCTCAGTCCTGAGCCAGACTCAATGCTGACAGAAATGCTGTCATCCTGTTCTTCGAAATGGCAAGTGACATGGATTTCATTACATCCCTTGGTGAGCTACTCTAAATACATTTATAACCATAAATGGTGAGCCTGAATATCTACTTCAAAGCTGACTCCAAAAAAATGCAAAATAGTTCATACTGTTACGGAGAAGTTGACTGGTTGTGACACCCCATTCACCATTTCCGTGTGAGGGCTGGAAGGCAGACAAGTAAGCCAATGGACAAGAATGAAGTTCCTCATACCCACATTTGGTATGTTTTTAGAGAGCTGGGCCCAAGAGTCTCTATGACCCAATATGTCCAGGAGGCTGATTCTGAACTCACCATTCATTCCATCGCACTTTGAATTCCCAACATTAAAGCAGGAAGTTTTCATGTTGCCAGGAAGGACATTCCACCATTTATATTCAAACCCAAGCGCAGGCTCCATTCCTGCTGGACACGGCCTACATTCTATGAGAGACAGGTGAAGGAGATAATTACAGTTAAATTGCATTTGGACATCTTCCTCTTCCTCTATTCTAAATACTACTAAACTTTAATTAGCAGAGAGGAATGCAGGAAGGAGAGATAGTAGAGCGTCAATTCTCTTAAGAATTAATAACTTTTTCTAAAATAATCTGGAAAGAAAAATATTTCTGGATATAGTTTACCCATATACACTTGATTAACATGAAAAAGGAAAAGGATCAATATAAAATATTTTAAAATTATTTTTTTCCTTCATTTCTGAGAGTAACTGCTAATATCAGTCACCCTGCACAAGAAGGGTAACCTGAAACTAGTTCTCTTGTATGTGCTCTTAAGATCAGTTCCCTCTACCTCATGAACCAGGAAATATTTCAGCCTTCCTATTGGTTATTAAACTTAACAGAGTACCATTTAATTATGGACTCATTACTTGAAATACAAAATATTGGCTATGTTGAAAAATGATACTGGGAGTTGAGAGTCATGTTTATCAATAAACCTGATTTAAATTAATATGTGCAACAATGAAATGGAAGGATTCTGTCCAACCCTTTCCTAATTTATCCAACACACTTGCATTAATCATGTCATTAGAAATGTTCACTGAGCAAACACTTCTTGATACCAGAGTACTTTAGACACATTTTTACATAACCTGTTCAAAGAATACAAGCTAGATATTATTACTCACAATTTTAAGGGTGCGAAAATTAAGGTTCAAAAGATTTAAGGAACTTGGATTAATCACACTAATGGCTGCCTGTTCTATGTGGATTCAAAACCAAGTTAATCAGACTCTTAAGTCCCTCTTGTGCTATCTACCAAAGGCTCTGGGTAGTAAGCAGATACCCTGGCTATATTCAAGAGAGATGACCACAACTGAAATACATTGTAATTTTTGTCTATCAAAATTAAAACAAACTCTGCAGCGCTTTCTGTATTATTTGATAAGCACTAACATTTTCTCAACTGTACATCCTGAAAAATTAAGAGACTATCTTCACTGCCGTATGTTCAAAACAAGTAATTTTTTGCTGTTACTATAGCACAAAATGTAATTTATGATTCCAAAGCTGAATTAGAAGGTTATAATTTATACTTGTATAAATATATCACTGGAAAAAGAGTGCCTGTCCTTATCCATACCACTCACTGGAAAAAGAGTGCCTATCCTTAACACTTAATATGGTGGAATGGTTTTTTAAGATTTTAAGATTTTATTTATTTGAGATTTGAGATTTTATTTTAAGATTTTATTTATTTGAGAGAGAGAGGGAGAGCATGAGTGGGGGAGGGAGGAGCCAGGTTGGGCAGAGGGAGAGGGAGAAGCAGATTCTCTGCTGAGAAAGGAGCCCGATGCTGGACTCGATCCCAGGACCTTGAGATCATGACCTGAGCCAAAGGCAGATGCTTAACAAAGTGAGCCCACCCAGGCTCCCTATGGTGGAATTTTTTTTATCAACATTCAAAGGCAGAGTGAGTCATCCAGTGAAGAGGGTATTACACATATTATACAAAATGCCTAGAAAAAACTATCCTTGTGGTATGTTAAAGAAGGCACTGACACCTCACAATTCATTATGATATTTCTCAACTCTTCTTCAGTCTCTGTGAGATAAGTATGTTTTATAAATAAGTCTTATGTAAAAGCAATGAAGAACAATGTCACAATAGTCCAGCGAGATTATTGTGCTAAAGGTCCAACTGGCATCCTACCCTTTGTTCCATCCGAAAATGTTCCAGGAGGGCAGGGATGGCAAGATGATGATCCATTGTTATAAAATCCAGGGTTGCAAGGGGGACAGTCCTTCTTCTCTCCAGAAGGGGGCAACCTAATAGCATCTGTGAGATCCTCCCGGCAGATTTTGGGCTCTATCCACTTGTACATAATTTGCGTCTGCGGGGGGGAAAAAAAGCTTGCAGGTCATATAAGATGCTTTATTTGCTTTAACTTTTCCGTAATAAAAACATTAAACAGAAAGCCTAGGAAAAGTCAAATAGTGAAAGAACAGAAGGGCCAGGTGAAAAGAATCTAAACCATTAGTAACAGAATGAGATAAAAAGAAAAAAGCTTTGGTTGGGAGAATGGCCGTTACTTCCACATGTTTTTACTATGAGCTACAGGTGGGCCTTACAGCATCCAAAAGCACATTCATCATCATCGAATTCCACTTCGAAGTATAGATACGGGATTATAACCCTCATTCTCACAGCCACCCACGCACTTTATTCCTTAACGACATAGGCGTCTGGGCAGACTGCCTTTTCCGTTTGGAGACCTTCAGTACTCTCTTCCTATCTCTCACCCTCAGCACCTATCACCATGCCTAGCACAACCTGATCACAAAAGAAAAGGTGTACGTTTTTAAAAAGACAGTGTCTAGCTTCACATTTCAATCCTGCATTTCACAAATACATGTGGTTGCTCTCTGAATCTTTTCCAATAACCTGATGTTAAACCACAAGAACCATAGCTAAAGTACTTCTAATTCTGGGCCCTGTTGCAGGTGCTTCTACCATCAGAATTAAGACAACCTCTACTTTAAAAGACAGAAGTCTTTTAAACCTTATCTTCTCATTCTCTCTCACACATACACACACCCCTATGTGACACAAAATATACAAGATCACTATAACTCAGCCAAATCCAGAAAGTTGCAATTATAAAATTACTCTCTTTGTGAAAACAGAAAAATTAAATGGTTTAGCCATTTCACAAACAAAATCAATATGCTCAGTAAAAATAAGAAGGTATTTTAAATGCAAAGGGAAAAACAACTTCCTAACTATAGTTTTTAAAACAAGACTCCATTTCCTTCACTAGGCGTATAATCTAATGAAAGAATGTTTTCTCCTTTAAAACAACTTGCAAAAGTAAGTCTAATACTGAAGATGGAGAAACAAAATTAAAAGCAGTTCTTTATAACTATTTTCAGTTAATAGGAAATTAAATATAGCACACCCTTTAGACCACTCAATTTTATTCTCAAGTATTCTCTTATGGAAGAGCAAATTACCTTATCTGAAGAAGGATGCTTAAGGAAATGGTTTAAAAGGTAGATGTCTCAACAGAATTATAAATAACATATTTTTTCCTTTTATAACTCTCTTTCTACATTCATTTTATGGCCCACATCATGATACAGTTCAACCAGTCACTGCACCCAACTGCCTCTCTACCCATCTGTAAAATGATGCCGCTCCGGCTAAGGCTTCCTCAACAGCTTAAAAAAAAAAAAATTACCTAGATCCTGTATCCATAAAGGGTTCTCAATTCCTCTGAAAAACGGTGTACAAAATTCAGAGAATCTAAGCAAATAAAACATCATTATATCTGGGGGATTGTCTTTCTAAAAATCCAGCTTAGCAAGTAGAGAGAACAAGTTTCTGACCCACGGAAGTCACAAATTTGCTGATTTATTTGGACATGAATTAAAATCACATTGTATTAGTCTAAGCTATTGCACTGTTGAAAATAGGCAGTTCCCGCATGGGAGTGGGGGTGGCATTGAGGCTGAGCACGCGCATTGATCCTGGGGGCACGCCTTGCGTGCCTCTCCACCACTGTGGGAAGTCGTTACTATTGTCCTCAAGTTTATAAATAAGGAAGTTGTGGGTAAGAGCTGTTGAACAACTTGCCCAAGAATTAGGCAAAACTCATAAAGAGTGACGTAACACTCAAGAAGGGTCAGTTCAGTTAAGGCAAAAATAGTAAAATAAGGAAATACATTTTTGACAAGTCAGCTGACCACATGATTCTGAATCCAAGCACAGTAAATGTTTAAAAATTAGAAAATGTGCACCACCTTTAAATATTTAAACAGTGAGAAGCCAAATTTCAAAGCTATACAGTAAAAGTTGCATTTACAAGACATCTTGCTTCACATGGAAGGTTGAGTCTATGACTCTCTTTCTACTGGGGACAGATGTTATCAAGTGGAGCTGGCTGGGGAAAGATAATAATATAAATGATACTTAGCGTCAGATGGCTCACAGTGCAGGTGAAAAACCAACAATCAACTCATTCTTTGGCAAGTCGAGATAAAATAATGAAATATTTTATGAAACCAAAAAGCCCTAATATAGCAAAATCTATCAGATTGCGAGTAAGATTAGAGAAAACCTAAAGTGTCCGAGTATTTTATATTAAGCATGAATAAAATATATTTTAAAGAAACACATGTAGGTATCAATTCTCATTTCAAAAAAAAAAATACAGGACTGGGAAGACTAAAATTTAGACAAATTTTGAGAATATATCTGTCCATGGCTGCCAGCTTTCTTCCTTGAAATGTCCCTACACATTTGTAGACTGGCTGAATTCATCAGAGTCAAATGACACGTGCTTCACAAGTCTACCAAATCCCACTCCAGCCTTGCACTGTATAATGTTCTGACTTGTATGTTCCCAACCAGGTGGGCTATTGCTTGCCTTCCTGCCTTTTCCAATCCTTGATCTTTTCCAGAAACGAGACACTGGGCCCTCATGATTTGTCTCTTTGACGGCCCACACCATTCTGCCAAGTTGCATCCATTGCCTCCTTCAAACCCATGCTCAATGTCCAATGCGCTCTAAGACTCTCCTCAGCTCGCCCATCTATGTATCAGCATCTACTTGAATTCCTTTTCTATGAAGGTTTTATTGTTTTCTCTTTTCCCTTGTGGTTACATCCTTGTTCCCTCTCTAAATGCATCAAAGCCCCTCTTCTTCCTCTATGTGGAAGACAGTGTGGGGATGGAACATTATCCTGGAGACTGTAGCCAGGGCCTTAGGCAAGGAAATGTTCTAACATTAGATTGAGGCAAAAATATTGAAAACACCGAACAGAGGCTTTAAAAGGATACAGTGTCTAATATGACAATTCAATCTCAATAAAGCTGTTTTTAAAAATAATTTAAAGAAGACTATCATGAAATTTTAATTTCTACAAATTTGAACTCCCTAATCACTGAGAAATGCGATGGTCTTTCCCCATCATCCTAATTCAGAAACAGTTCCCAATTATATTTGACTTACTTAAACTGCGTATCAAGAAAGGCAGTTCTAAGAGCTGTATCCTTTATACCCGACTTTTTTTTTTTTAAGATTTTATTTATTTGACACAGAGAGAGAAATCACAAGTAGGCAGAGAGGCAGGCAGAGGAGGGGGGGAAGCAGGCTCTCCATCAAGAAGAGAGCCCAATGCGGGACTCAATCCCAGGACCCTGAGATCATGACCTGAGCCAAAGGCAGAGGTTTAACCCACTATACCCAGTGTGCCCCTATACCCGACTTTTTAATGTCCCCTACACCTTAACTTTGCTATGTAATTCACAAGTACTGCATAAGAGACATTGAACATTTGGAATAACTTGTAATAGTGAAGTTCATTAAAGGACAAAGAAAGTACTAGACATATTCCATCAATTTCCTAGCCTCAGGGATGACTAAGTCATATAGTCAAATGTCCCCTCTCCAGGCTTCCTTCTAGAACATCCTGCCCTGGCAGGTACCCTTCTAGCCTTGGCTGCAAGTTTGCTCTTTGACAAAACATTCTGTTCCAGAAGTGGGCAGCTCTGCTTGTTTGAACATCATTATGCACCAATGGAATTTACCTTCTAAAATTTCACCCAAATTCTCCCTTATGGAATAATACAGAAAAGTCTGCTTCCTCTTTTCTGTGATTTCCTATCAAATGCTTCAGCTTACTACTTAGGAAGTTCTTATTAAGCACCTATTGTGTATAGAAGAAAACACTGTGGGGAATTTAAATATTAATAAGACAATTTGCTCTGAAGGAGGTTCCAGTCTAATAGTGACAAGACGGGTTCACAAAATGCTAGAATATAAAAAAAGAAAATATGTGAAGAAGACGCAAAAGCACTGGATTTGGAAGCAGACACAATTAGGGTTAGAATTCCAGTCTTAAGACTTACTGGCTGTGGCTACCTATAAACTTCCAGAAATTACTTAACCTCATTAAGCCTCAGTTCTCTCATCTAAAAACTGGGTATAATAATGTCTAAATTGCACAGCTATTGAAAAAAAGAATTAGAGGCCATGTCTGCATACACAAGCACACACACAGTGAGGGTGCATGCAATTACTTAAGTGACAGATGCTTCTGCTACTGATACCGTCACTACTATTTCCATAATTATGGTCACCATCATCACTTTGAAGAGAAACATGAAATGTCATGGATATTCACAGAGAAGAGATCAAATCTCTTTGGGACAAGTAGAACATGTAAGAAATATGATCCAAATTCTTCCATCCCGTGGTCTTTTCTCCAACCTGAAAAAAAAATTACCAGCAACTTCAACCATATTTCATATCAAATAGTTTAATATCCTGGTCTCTCTTCTCTAAATTCTGCCCAGTTTGTCAAAATTTTCTCAAGCCCTCTGCCAAGGACAAAGCACAATTCTCTAAATATGTTTACTTTCACTCACTAACTTTCTCATTCATTAATTTATTCAAAAGATGCTTCATTACCTTCTGTGTTCCGGGTACTCTATTAAGCTTACAGATTTTTTTTTAAAAGTAATTAAGAATGTGTTTCTGTCTACCGGAAGCTGAGCGCCTGGTCATCTTTACAAGAACTGTATTTGCCACAGTGATCTGATACCAAAACACTAGCAAACCTATGACCACTCTGAAAATATCAGGAGAGGCGTGCCAAAAATTCTGTGGGAATTCCCAGCATCAAGACAACTTTGGCAGATCTATTCATGTTTTTTAAGAGTAGGCAAGTTCTGTGAACCAGCACAGAATCACTCTCTTTTTACTGTGGTAACCGACACCATCTTTTCCCCTTGAGGAACTGATTTGTGTGAACTGACAGGAATAAGGACTTAACAGAGTCTGGCAGCCCAGCCGTAGGGTGAATGAAGCTGGTGAATGAAGCTGTTGGA